TCAGTAGGTGCACAATTATTTTTCTTAAGAGACTCAATCCTTCTTGCTTTAAAGTATCGTCATTAGAGAAAAATGTATGGCAGATCATTCCCGATTTATTATGTTTAAATAATCCTCAATTTTGCATCAAAATGAAGTGTAGATACATAATGGTGTCTTACTTTTAAATGTTTTAAATTATATATTGTTTCACAGATACAACGAAAACGCTAAAGTCAATATGTGTGACAGAAAGAAAAAAAAAAAAGAAGACTTCGAATGATGTTCTAAAGCAATGTCAGTGTTCCTTCAACTACAAAGTCGTTGATCCTTTATTTTATCTGTTATGAAATAAAGAGAACAAAACATTATGTTATTAACGTGTAAATAAGAAATAGTGTAATTTCTTCTGCTCTTTCCTCGTATTCGTTCTTAACTTTGCTAATTTTTCCCACGTTTTCTTTAACTTGCTTTCGCGTCTGTTTGGTTCTCCAATCAAATCTTGCGATCGAAATTTCGGGCACTTCTCGGTTAGCTAGCGCGCTGAAATTTTCAGGGAAGCTTTGTTTCCGATGACCATAGAATATTCAATTGTTATTATTACTAAATTGATCCATGGAAACATTTTATTGATCATTTTAGGCCGCTATATAATTGTACAAAAACGTGGGGGAAAAGGGACATAACCCAGTAACTGTAATTTGATGAAAACAAGGTTCTGGACTCTCCCTCTTTTTGCTTACTGACTAGTGTTCACGCAGTGTTTGTGTATAAACAACCAGAACGTAACAACTGGTGGCCAGTATGGGGGAGACGATATGGTCGAGTGGTTGGGCACTCGATTGCTATCCCACTCGGCGCGGGTTCAAATCTATGTGTTCTAGTCAGTAACGTATTCACACAACGTGTTTTTTACGAGTTGTCTTTTTACGAGACTTTAATGCTATACAACTTTTACGAGATTTTAATGCAAACAAACAGACAAAGACTAAAAAGTAGAAAATAATAATCATTAAAAAAGTTTAAAAAAACCCACGTTTTCTGATTGAACTAAAAAGTAGAAAATAAATGTTATACATCACAATAATGCAAGCGATCACTCTACTATAAGCGATCAAAAACGTGGGGCGCCGTGATTTTCTTACAGTTTCTAATACTGTTAACTCTCTACAAGCTCCCTAATAAAAGTCAGTAGTATTATCTAATCAATAGTAATATAACTTTTACTTCGGCGCCCCACGTTTTTCATCGCTTATAGTAGAGTGATCGCTTGCATTATTGTGATGTATAACATTTATTTTCTACTTTTTAGTTCAATCAGAAAACGTGGGTTTTTTAAAACTTTTTTAATGATTATTATTAGCAATACTAGTCTAGCACCGGAAAACTAAGAGGATATTTCATTAAGCAGCGCGGAAATAGAAATTACGAGAACACAACTCTCGCTGATTTCAAGTTAAAGCAACGAAGTTCTGAATAGTTTTCTTGAAAAACAACAGTAGAAGTCACACCGATTTACTGCCGTAAATAATTTAAAAAAAGAAAAGATTTTTGTGTTTTTTTTTCCCAATTCGTATTTTAATGGATCTCATAATTGATCATATGGATGTGGATACGCGGTTTATTTGTGTGCACCAGTAAAATAAAAATGTTTTAAAATTAAAAAAAAATCATATATTATATTTATCCTATTTAGAAAGGTTTGGTGAATACGCAACAAAGCTGGTGTGGTTTGGTATCTCCAAAAAGGCTGGGAAGCGCTGGTCTAAGGGTAAGGGGGCTGGAGTTACCGAGGGTAAACGACATTTGTTTAATGTCCCGCCTCCTATTCTACACACAATGCATATCAACTCATTATCCGTTGCTTGACGTCACCTACCTCTAATAGATTAAAATTGTAGTGAAAATTAAATTGCATCCAGACGAGTATTTAAGTTTGGTGCACGTGATGTGAGCATGTACGATCGGAAAATCTAATTTTATTTTAAATTAATTTATTTTAAGTTTTTGCAAATCCATGAAATTACTTTTTAAAGATTGCGTATAAGCCTAATGTTATGTCTGGTCTAATGCTGATGAAGGATAGGTATTGAGATAACTTTTCACTTGTGCTCCCAAGTTAAATATCTGTGTTCGAGCAAAGTGTCATACTAGACATACTAATACACATGATTAAATTTCAACATTAAAACGCCAAGTGATAACGAAAACGAAGATGTGTATATCTAGTAGCGATTAATATGGAACATTGAGAGGGGGTGTTGTGAGGAGGTGTTGTGAGGAGGTGTTGTTAGGAGGTGTTATGAGGAGGTGGTATGAAGAGGTGTTTGAGTGGTTGCTGCCCTTTTGGTTGCTTTCCTACATTTGCTAATCCAGAATAAAAGCAGGCAGAAATAGGAAAAAAACCGGACTCTACAGCGCATAGCAAGTGTTGGAGTAAATCCATTCCAACATTGCAATAGAACTTAAGAACGAAGAAAAAAATTATATATGTTTCCACAACCCGCCTCCCCCCCCCCCTTCTCCTTCAGACCAGGTAGGAAGTTCGAAATAAACCCTAAGTTTTGGCATTTAAAAACGAACATAAAAAACGTTTGCACTTGCTTGTTTGCTTCATTAGTTGACGCTATTTATATATCATACATATCACATGATTTATATTCATATTTTTTTACTTGAGTTAGTCATGTTTTTTTTTCATGGAGTGAGCTTGGGACTATATTCTTCTCCCTCCCCCCTCTATTAATTACCCTCCTGATATCCCTTCCCCCCCCCCCCCCCCCCTCGATAGTACTGTGTATGCATATTTTCGTATATTTACTGTTTCAGCAAAAGGAAAAGTAGAATTAAGTATATTTTATGCTTTGTAAATCTACATTTTGTTGTATTCTTAAACATTGCAAGTCGTTGGGTGGGGAGGGGGAGAGGAGGGGGTTACTCAGGGGTGTAACTGACAGGGGATAATTTCTCCCGAGAGTAGTTTCTACAGCGGCTATTGGGAAGTAATATAAGGGGTTATTGATATGAGAGGAGGGGGGCGGATATCCTGCTCCAAAATGGGGTAGGTATATAAGGCTTCTAAATTGTTCGTCCACTTTCTTTTTTACATTATTGTTGATATTTCTCGCTAGAAAGCATCAACGAGATACATGATAAAAATATAATTATCTTTGTTTTACCTTTAGAATCAGCTGTAAATCCTACCAGTGGCTTAGTTACCAAGGACACACTCATGAGGATATGACTTTTCAAATTAATTTATGGCTCTAATTTTCATAAAGCTGATTAAAAAGTTTACTTCACAAGTTATAACAAGGAAATAATGAACAATTTAAAAAGGTATTTATATTTATCTACATTCAAAGTACAAGTCTTATCATAGTTTAATATAAGAAACTGAAAACTAAAAAGAAATAAAATGCTGTTTTTAATCCCAAAATAATATAAGTGACTTAAACTGTGATGCTCTTGCGGATTATAATCAATACAGTTTGTTTAAAATCAATTGCTAGGTCAATGACTTTAAAGTATTTTTAAATAGTTAACTGAAACAGCAAGATCATTGCTAATTTTAAAATAGCCCTTTTTAATGCAGAATTTTCGTGAATCGCACGGGGACACCAGGGAAATTGTAAGAGCCTATTTTTATGTTTAAATTCATTTTGTATGTGTTTAGTATGTGCATACTGATGTTTACTTAAACGTAGAATTTAAGGAAAGACAAACTTTGTTAGTTAAAGTCATAAATATTATAAATTTTCAAATCACTATGAAAGTTACTTATTTAAAAATTAATTACTAAACCCTCGGGCAGATAAGGCTCGATAGATGGGAGCAAACAATAGATGCCTTGTGGTTTGTTCTATAGAAGCAAATCCAAAAAGAAAAGTAGACAGAATTAAGCACCAATGGCGTAAATGGTACATGACAAGTTAACACGTAATACTTATTTGTATTGGATGGAATTTCTCTAAACATTAGAGTTGAGCCTGTTCTGGTACCATGGAGTCAACATGACCCCAGCCATTTTTAGAGCAATTTTTTTTTAAAAACTATTACGATTAGTGACCTCACCTGCCATGTATTTTTTCGCAAGGACTTCATGAGCACGTTACACATATATTTCAAAGAATTACAAGTTATTTATTATTTTAGTTTATTTTCGCTCTGGGTCATATAGACCCCATAGTACCGTCGATGTGATAAAGATATTTTCCCCTTAATATACCAACAGAATCAGCAAGCAGCACACATTCTCATCCAGGACTACGCTAGAGAGTGTTACATTTGTCCCAGATCATGTGCGAAGAAAAGCAAACTTTTCTGAAAATATTGTAATCATTTGGTTTGCGAAAAACATACAAAGCTAGTGCACAATCAATGTCATCAATACCATTTTGTATACAGCGTCAAACTGACTCCGTGGTACTAAAAAGCTGGGTTCAGAACGAAGAAGAAGAAAAATGCTAAACGCTCAAATTTTCAAGTGCATGTATGGAAGATGGTTCTTGAAATTTATAATTTTTTTTTTCTTTTTTGTGATACAGAGTGTTAGGAACAGACAGGAGATGAAACACCTATTGCTGATCGCTGCTCTGTTGAGTGTCGTTGCCTCACAAGTAATGGGAGAGGGCACTTTAGACAAGTAATTAGGGCCTACATACTAATTGTAGTTTTGTTGCAAAATGCGAAAGTCTATAAGTATAAAAATATACTGATATATTGAAGCATATATATATATATATATATATATATATATATATATATATATATATATATATATATATATATATATTAATATGTAAATAAAACAATGACTCTTTTGCTTACAATATATATCTCTATTTAGTCCTTCATCAAGCAGTCCAGAGCCCCTATTGACGACGGCAATTTGCGGAATGCAAGGACAAAGCTGCGTAAATTATCCATGCTGTTGGAAGTTCATTTGCAAGTAAATAGAATTGTATCTGCCCGTCCGTCCGTCCATCCGTCCCTCCGTCTGTCCGTCTGTCTGTCTGTCTGTCTGTCTGTCTGTCCGTCTGTCCGTCTGTCCGTCTGTCCGTCTGTCCGTCTGTCCGTCTGTCCGTCTGTCCGTCTGTCCGTCTGTCCGTCTGTCCGTCTGTCCGTCTGTCCGTCTGTCCGTCTGTCCGTCAGTCCGCCCGCCCGCTCGCCCGCCCGTCCATCCGGCCGCTTGTCCGCCCGCCCGTCTGTCTCACTGTCTTTCTCACTGTATGTCTCACTGTATATATCTCTGTCTCTCTGTCTCTCTGTCTCTCTGTCTCTTTGTTTGTTTGTCTGTCTCACTGTCTGTCTCAATGTCTCACTGTCTGTCTCACTGTCTTTTTCACTGTCTGTCTCACTGTATATGTCTCTGTCTGTCTGTCTCACTGTATGTCTGTCTCACTGCCTGTCTCACTGTCAGTCTCACAGCCTGTCTCACTGTCTGTCTCACTGTCAGTCTTACTGTCTGTCTTACTGTATATCTCACTATCTGTCTCATTGCCTCTCTGTCTGTTTGTGTTAATGATAACATGTGTGCCATAGTAGCTAGTTAGACGAAATGTCATTGAAAAGTTTTACATCGAATTTGTATTATTCCGTTAATTTTTTAGCTATTTTCGATTTAATCATAGTACTCTGATAGTTAGCTAAACCAAATATCATAAATAAGTAAAACGTCTTATTCATTGGTTTCTGCCAGATATGAGTAAATTCCGGAAATCGGAAGTAATTCTTCAGATCACTTCGGTTTTTCCGTATATAGGATGAACATAAAGCATTTTAGTCGTGCTGCTGAATTAACATTTTGCATAACTGAAAGACGTAATTTAATCTATTTCCGAATGAAACAAAATCCTTAGTTCATACCTTCTTTTATAGTTTTTTTCAATAATGATAGTTTGAGCACCTTTTATTTGGAATATATTTTATTTTTAGTTATTACAACTTAATCTGTCAAATTTTGAGTGCTTTTCTACGACCAAAAGTAGTAAATTACTGCAGTTTTTTAAAATCATTAATTAAATCCGTAACAATTTGTCCTATAAGAAGTTATAGTATCAATATAATATTTTTAATAATCTATACCAATCGGTATTTTATTTGATTGTATTGTTTGTAAAATATTTATAATTTTTGCTTTGTGTGTGCACTTGATATTTTAAAATCTTGAACCGTAGCCTATAAACAATTATACGCCATGTTTTTTGTTATCAAAGGGAATTATGCCCACAACAAATAATTAGCTCGAAAATGTATCTTTCACCTGCTATCGAGACTGTGAATTTAAAGTGAGAGGGAATGAGACTTACAAGCAATACTCTCCGCTATATTATACTCAATTTGTTTGCGTTCAGTTGGTGCAGAATTATTTTCTAAAAGATTTCATCCGCCTAGCTTTAATGTATGGTAACTAGAGAAAGATTTATGGCAGATCACTCCCGATTTATTATTATTAAGTAATCCTCTATTTGGCATCAAAATGAAATATAGATAATTTTAATGATGGTGTCTTACTTTGAAATATTTAAAATTATATATTGTCTCACAAATACATAATAATGTGTATTACTTTGAAATGTTTAAAATTATATTTTGTCCCACAGATACGACAAAAAAGCTAGAGTCAAATTGTGTGACAAAAAGAAAAACGAAAATGAAGACTTCGAATGATGCTCTTAACCAATGTGTCTTCAAGTATCTATTCGTTGATCTTTTATTTTATTTACTATGAAATAAAGAGAACAACACATTGTGTTATTTAATAAGAAATAGTGTCCTTTCTTCTTCTTCTTCTTCGTATTCGTTCTTATTTTTTAGTGTTGAAAGGGATTCCCTCCAACACAAGAAAGTATATGTATCAACCGCTTATGCGCGATAAAGGCCTTTGACTCAGATTTCAGTCAGCTTTTCTTTTTTGATTTGCTTCCATATCCTTTGTCCAGCCAAGAACAAATTACAAGGCAGCATTTTGTTTTAATATTTTGACTTATCGCTACAGCAACCATGAGCTTAACCGAACCAACCACGCCGACCTTCCAGTGTCCTTTCAAAACAAGTAGTTTTAGTTTACGTTAAGCAATAGACAGATATTCACTTCCTATTACGATTGTTTGATTAAAATTGTCTTTGAGGAACTTGATGGCTACAAGCTTCGATTAGCAATTTTGGATTTGTTTATTTATATTTTGTTTTACTTCACACAAAAAACGTAGTCAAATAATATAGTTTAAAACAAATATAAATAAAACATAAATCTTTATATAAAAAGAAGAATCTGGGAAGTATAAACAATAATTCAAACATCAAGGCTATTGCAGATCGAACTGCTATGCTGCAATTGGCATGCTTTGTCGATTTGAATATGGCGATTGCTCGGGCATTAGCCAATAAGGCAGTTGTTTTCTAGGGTGTTTTGATAATGTTACATAAATAAACCACATTAAGATATTACAAATAGGACTGGCGACTTTCTAATTGACTTGCGTTTATTTATTTAATCAGATAGAAACAGCACGACAGCGTATTAAGAGCACTAGAGCGAGATAACGAGTATCGACATTGTGGTATTTCTATATCGTGGAACTCTTGACGTCATGATACATATAAAAGAAGGATCGTGTCAACGATACCTATACCTATATGATATATACGTACGGTAAATGTGTTGTAGTGCATCATAAAATATCTGTCTCAAAGGTATAGTCCCGTTATACAAAGACGAGAAATATAAAAGAAAGTGATTGGACGTGAATGTACGAAATTGATTTAGATTTATAAAGTAATTTGATGGGAATCATCGTATCAACAGCATGATTTGCAATGCCAAATTTAGTGATTCTAGTCTATTATCGGAAAACCAAGAGGATGTTTCTTTAAACTGCGCAGAGATAGAGAATACAGGTACACAACTTTCGTTGAGTTCATTTTGAAGCAACGAAGTTCTAAATTGTTTTCTGAAAGACAACAGCAGAAGTCCCTCTGATTTGCTGCAGCTAATATTAATTTTTTAATATGTTTTTATGTTTTGTCCGCAATTCGTATTTTAATGTATTTGTTAATTAATCATAGTGATGCGGATGCGTGGCGTATTTTTGTGCACTGGTAAAAAAATATATTTATTTATCCTATTTAGAGAGGTTCGTTGAATACGCAATGAAGCAGTTGGGGTTTGGTATCTCCAAAAACTTTGAGAACCGCTGATCTAAGTGTTGGGGTGGGGGCTGGGGTATAAACGTCATTCGTTTAATGTCCCGCCTCGTGTTATTCCTCACAATACAATCAGTTCATTATTCGTTGCTTGACGTCACCTACCTATAAGAGTTTAAAATTGTTGTGAACATTAAAGTGCACGCAGACGAGTTTTTAATTTTGGTGCACGTGATATGAGCATGCACGATCGGGCAGATCTAGTTTTGTTTTAAATTAATTTATTTTAAGTTTTTTTGCAAATCCATGAAATTAGTTTTTAAAGATTGCGTATAAGCCTATGTTTGTGTGTTGACTAATGCTGATAAAAGATAGGTATTGAGATAACTTTACAATGGTGCTCTCAAGTTAAATATCATTCTGTGTTCTGTGCATGGTGACCGTACTAAACATAAAGAATACCATTAAAACGCCAAGTGACACAGCAAATGAAGTAGCTTTTCTCCGTGTTTATATATGGTAGCGTTGAAAAATATTTACGTTGCGGTGTGTTGTGTATTGGTATTGTGCGTTGGTTAAGTGTGTGGGTGTTGTGAGGGGGCGTTGTGAGTGGTTGCTGCTCTTTTGATTGCTTTTCTACCGACTGACAAATGCTAATCCAGAAGAAAAGCAGGCTGAAATAGGAAAAACAAAACGGGTTATACAGCGCATAGCAAGTGTTGAAATAAATCCCTTCCAACATTAAATTACAATTTAACAGCGTAGAAGAAATTCTATATATGTTTTCAACAACCTGCCTCCCTCCACCACCGAAACTCCTGTGTTGGTGCAAACCCTCCCCCTCCTCAAGGTCATGTATCTATGTGCGTGCAAACACAGGTTGAATAGATGCGAGTAAAAATGCGCATTAGGTTAAATACCCTTCCCTTACCCTAACACACACCGGGTATGAAGTCCGGATAAAACTCAGTTGTCTAGCAACAGATAACATGACTGAATGACATTTCTCGGACTCAAGAAAAACGTATAGTGTTGATAAAGTTCATTGTGAACAACTCTAGCGGGATATGTCAAATGCCTCGCCTGAAACCCTCACCCCCTATGTGTATATATGTATTACAAAGTGATGGAGTAGAGAAGGTTTTTTTTATTTGTAAGGGCAGGTAGTTCTTATTTAATCCAGAAAACATTGTTAAACGCTTAAGGACCGCAGGAAAGTAGTGAGACTACCATTTATGTTTATTGTGATTTCGTACGTGATTCTTATGCTATACTGATTTTATCTGTACTGTAGAAATTAAAGGAATAACTTAATGTTTTAAATATATAGTCATACATATTATACTTTTTAAGATCACCATGTAAGTAAACGACTTTAAAAATACATATATATTTTACATGTTAATTTGTTCTAGGGGGTGTCTTTCAGTAAAGTTTATATTTTCTTATACGCAGAGTGGTAAGAAAAGACAAGATATGAAATACGTATTTCTTATCGCTGCTCTGTTAAGTGTCGCTGCCTCGCAAGAAATGGAAGGGGGCTTCATAGAAATGTAATTGCATACTATATTGCAGTTTTGTTGAAATATGCGGAAGTCTTCAAGTCTTCAAGTAGGCCTATATCAATACACAAAAATATAAATGCAGTTGCAAATATATATATATATATATATATATATATATATATATATATATATATATATATATATATATACATATATATATATATATATATATATATATATATATATATATATATATATATATATATATATATATATATAACTAGCGTAACCGTCCCCACGTGTTGCTGCATCTGTTGATGTGTGTAACTTTTGCGAATAACGCAATCAGTGTCATTGTTTCAGGCGCATACGTTTGTTTTAAGTTTGTTTTTTGTAAACAAAAAAAAAATTCAGATCAACTAAAATCATCCACTACACTATTAAATTTCAGGTGTGAGATGTTTTGTCTGAGATATTTTTGTCTGAGATCATTTGTCCATGATATCATTTGTCCTGATATATTTTGTCCTGGTATCTTGTGTCCGTGAGATCATTTGTCCTTGAGATCATTTGTCCTGAGATCATTTGTCCTGAAATCATTTGTCCGTGAGATATTTTGTCTGAGATATTTTGTCTGAGATCATTTGTAATGGAACCATATATATATATATATATATATATATATATATATATATATATATATATATATATATATATATATATATAAACAAACAAAAAAACAAGTAAGTAAATAAATAAATAAATAAATGTATTTATTAAATTCAAAATGAATGAATAAATGAATGCATTGTCTTTTAAAAACACCGATTACTCTTTTTCAGAATAGTTAGATGAAATTCGAAGTATGAGTCTAAGATCTTTAAAGTTTTGATTACTTTTAATTTTTTAGTTACCTCTAAAAACAGTAAGAAGGACGAACCATCATTTCTAGGTTTTTTTTCTATAATGATAGTTTGAGTTATTTTCATTTGGAATATATTTATACTCATATATTAGATATTTTTATGTAACATTTTTAGTACTTTTATATGACCAAAGTAGTAAATTAAACTATTTTTTTTCTAAAAAATATCCTTTCTACCGGAACGATTTCTTTCAAATTTTTCTAGCATGTAAAGACTTTAAGACAATTTATTATGATATAATTGTGATTTAATTTGATGCTTTAAAAAATCACTGTTTTCTTTATAGAGTAGGAATAGTGCTTGTAATTAGGTCTCACGTTCGTACATTCCAGGTGACATTTTCAAACCTAATGTTCGTATTTTTATTAAAACGGTAAAAAAGCAATAAATATAAAGTTAATTCGACCATTATTAAGTTATTTAAAATCGTAAACAATGAAGACAATAGACTACAAAATGTAGGTTAGCTAAAAGAAAATATAGCCTACGTAAAATTATGATAATTTAGAAAGAAACCTACAGTTTTTTTTAATCATTCATTAAATCCGAAACAAATTGTCCTATACGAAGTTATAGTATTAATATTTTATTTTTAATTATTCAGAGCCATCGGTAGTTGATTTGATTGTATTTTTTGTAAAATATTTATAATTTTTGCTTTTTGTGTGCTCTTGGTATTTTAAAATATTGAACTGTAGCCTAGAAACAATTATACGCAATGTTGTTTTTTTTATCAACGGGAATTATGCTCACAACAAATAATTGGTTCGAAAATGTATATATTTCACTTGCAAACGAGACTTCGAATTTAAAGTGAGAGAGTACGAGACTTACACGCCTTATTCTTCGCTATATTATACACATTTTTTTGCGTTCAGTTGGTGCACAATTATTTTTTTCTAAGAGATTCCAACCTCCTTGCTTTAATTTATGGTCACTAGAGAAAGATTTATGGCGGTTCTCTACCGATTTATTATGTTTAAGTAATAATGTCTTACTTTTAAATGTTTTAAATTATATATTGTCCACAGATACAACGAAAAAGCTAAAATGAAAGACCTTTAACACAAGAAAGTATACTTTTCAACCGGTTATACGCCATTAAGGCCGTGGATTTAACCTGCTTTTCTTTTTGGATTTGCTTCCATAGCTTTTTTTCCAGCCAAGAACAACTTACAAGGCAGCAGTTTTTTTTATTTGTATTGGGACTTATTGGTTCAGCAACCAAAAGCTTAACAGAACCAATCAAACCGACCTCCCAGTGTCCTCTCAAAACAAGAAGTTTTAGTTTACGTTTAGCAATAGACAAATATTCACGTGCAATGACGATTATTTTATTAAAATTGTCTTTGACGGATTTGATGGCTCCAGTCTCCAATTGGCAGTTTCTTAATTTGTTTATTTTATATTGTTTTAATTGACAAAAACAAAAAAACATAGTTAAATCAAATAGTTTTAAATAAATATAAATCAAACAAATCTAAATATAAAATAAAAATGTAGGAGGTAGTAAATAATAACAAAAACTTCAATGCTATTGCAGGTCGAACTGCTATGCTGCAGTGGGGATGCCTTGTAGCTTTGAATATGCCGCTTGCTCGGACATTAACCAATAAGGCTGTTGATCGAGTGGTCTAGCGGTAGAGAGCTGGACTGCTAACCCGTAAGTCTCGAGTTCGAATCCAGATGCAAGCCAGTAGATCGTCTAACTATAATGGGTACCTAATTAAAGTTAGGGAAATTAAAGGCGGCTGGGCATAGTGCTGACCACACTATCTCTTCATATGCCGAGGTCGCAGAAACAAGTGAACTCTACTTCACTTGCCCCATAGACCGTCAGGTTTGAAAGGGAAAATTTACTTTACTACGTAAATAGGCCACATTAAGATATTACAAACGGGACTGGATACTTTCTAAGTTGCTGCCGTTTATTTATTTTATCAGATAGAAACAGCACGAAAGCGTATTGAGAGTACCATAGCGAGATAACGAGTATCGACATCGTGATATTTCTATATCGTGGAAACTTTGACGTCATGATACATGTAAAACAAGGATCGCGACATCGATACCTATACTGGCAAGTACAAGTATCGTCTATCGTTCGTATATATGATATACACGTACGGTAAATTTGTTGAAGTACATCATGAAATTTCTTTCTAAAATATGTAGTCCCGTTATATTAAGACGAGAAATGTAAAAGAAAGTGATTGGACGTAAATGTACGAAATTGATTTAGATTTATAAAAGAGTTTGATGGGAATAATCGTATCAATTGCATGATTTGCAATGCCAAATTTAGTGATTCTAGTCTAACATCGGAAAACTAAGAGGATATTTCCTTAAGCTGCGCGGGGATAGAAAATACAGATTCACAACTTTCGCTGGATTTGTTAATTAATTTTAGTGATGTTGATAAGTGATTTATTTTTGTGCACCAGTAAAATTAAAAAAAAATATTTAATTATCCTTTTTAGAGAGGTTCGTTTAATACGCAATGAAGCAGGTGGGGTTTGGTATCTCCACAAAATTTGAGAACCGCTGATCTAAATTTGGGGGGGGGGACTGGGGTGTAAACGTCACTTGTTTAATGTCACGCCTCCTCACACAACCAATCAACTCATTATCCGTTGCTTGACGTCACATACCTCTAATAGATTAAAATTGTTGTGAAAATTAAATTGCACGCAGGCAAGTTTTTAATTTTGGTGCACGTGATATGAGCATGCACCATCGGGCGGATCTAGTTTTGTTTTAAATTAATTTTTTTTTAGTTTTTTTTTTTTTTTTTGCAAATCCATGAAATTAGTTTTTAAAGATTGCGTATATGCCTAATGTTGTGTGTGGTCTAATGCTGATAAAGGATAGGTATTGAGATAACTTTTCAATGGTGCTCTCTAGTGCTCTCATTCTGTGTTTTAAGCACGGTGTCCGAACAAGATATACTATTACAAAATAGTACAAAACTATGTACGTGCAAACACAGGTTGGACGGATGCAAGTAACATGTGGATTAGGTTAAACGAGCCGACCCGCAGCGGATCATACGCCGCTATTTAGTTGTTTTATTTTCTACTTTTCAGTAATTCATAATTTGTGAATTCGACAGTACCAATGCTGCCACTGAAAATATTTGCTTAAAAACACTAACCCCCCCCCCCCTTTTCCCCTAACCCCGACCCTACACCCCCCCCCCCCCCGTGAAAGCAGTCTCCTCTTAGTTATTTCTTAGATACCTCCTGTAAGTTTAAAATCGAACTAAATTATCTGCCCCTAATAGAAACCCGGCTATACGGCTCTACGATTTGTAAACATTTAGCTTTGTAAACAATTAGAGTGAACACCGCTCACCAGACAACGTGGGGGTGGGGTGGGGGTGGTAGTGATAGTGATAGAGAGAAAGAGAGGGGACTGCAAGAAGGCGCTTGCAGCTTGTTTTCTAACGGCTCCCAGAAGAGAATTATATATATAGATACGCGGTAGGTCGTCTTGACACCATTAGTTGTCCCACAATCTTTCAGCCTTAACTCCCCCCTCCCCTCCCCTACCACACACCAGGTATGAAGTCCGGATAAAACTCAGTTGTCTAGCAACAGATAACATGACTGAATAAAGTTTTCTCTGTCCCATAAAACACGTATAGTGCTGATAAAGTTTATTTTGACCAACTCCAGCGGGATATGTCCAATGCCTAGTCTGAACCCCCACACCTCCTCCCATCACCCGGGAATAAATTGGTCGAAATAAACCCACTGTTTTCCCTCTAATTGAAGATTATAAAAATGTTTTAAGCGTGCCTTTCACAGCTTCGTTATTTCCCGCTATTTGTTCTTGATTAATTCCTAACAGTTTATAGATTAGATTTTTTTGTACTTTACTTAGTCATCTTTTATATTTTAAGTGGGTCATGGACATTTCCCAAACGTTTAGTTACCCAAGGTCATTCCTTTCTTCCCCCGCTATTACCGCTAATGTATGAAAATAAAATGCGTAAATGGTAAATGTGTATTTTGTTGTATTTTAATTTAAATGAACATGTATGGGGGGGGGGGAGGGGGTGTTACCACTGGTGTAATTAACGGAGTTGGGCGAGGGTGGGGGGGGGGATTTCGCGGGGATAATTTCTTCGGATGTAATAATGGGTATTTTTAGGGGTTATTGATACTGTATGGGTTAATGTTCTCCCTTATAGGGTAGACCTTTGGTGATTTAAAATGTTGCTCCAATTTGTCCCTTCCGCAGTATTTGATATTTCTTATAATAAAGGATAAAACAGATAGGTTCTATACAAATAATTAATCAGCTGTAAATCCTGCAATATGCTTAGTTACCAAGGACACACTCGTGAGAATAGTTTTTTTTAAATTATTTATAGATTTTTTCCCATAAATTTGATAAAAAGTTTATTTCATAAGTACATCAAGAAAAAGATAAGTACATCAACAGTACAAGTCTTGACACTGCGTAACACAAGAAACTAAAATATTGAACTAAACATTTCAGAACCAAAAAATAATAACGTAAGAAGTTTATTTCATAAGTTACAACAAGAAATTGATGCAAACATCTAAAGAACAGTCTTTGCGTTGAGTTATCCAATAAACTAAACAGATTGAACCAAAATGATGTTATTTAAACTGTGAGCTCATAAGGATTATATATAGTCTGTTTAAAATCAATTTGAAATATGTATTACAAAGTGATGGATAAAGATTATTTTTTAATTTTAAGGGCAGGCAGTTCTTATTTAATCCAGAAGCCATTTTGAATCGCTAAGGACCGCATGCAAGTAGTGAGATAACCATCTATGTTTATTGTAATGTCGAATGTGATTCTTAAGTTATATTGTTTTTATTTGTACTGTAGAAATTAAAGGAGTAACTTACTTTTTTAAAAATATATAGTCATACATATTATACTTTTTAAGCTCACCATGTAAGTAAATGAATTTTAAAATTATAATACTACATGATAATTTGATCTAGGGGGTGTCTTGCAGTAAAGTTTCAAATTCGATGTTTCATTTTTTTTTCTTATACGCAGAGTTGTAAGAACAGACAGAATATGAAATACGTTTTGCTTATCGCTGCTCTGTTGAGTGTCCCTGCCTCGCAAGCAATGGAAGAGGGCTTCGTAGAAATGTAATTGCATAATATTTTGCAGATTTTTTGCAATATGTGGAAGTCTTCAAGTATATTAATACACAGAAGTATAGATGCAGTTGCAAATGTAAATGTATATATATATATATACATATATATATATATATATATATATATACATATATATATATATATATATATATATATATATATATATATAAGTGGCGTATCAGTCCCCGCGATTAGCTGCGGAGATAGAAGTAAGTCTGACGAAATATATAAGACGGGTTTCATCGGTGCGTTACAAATCCTATGTTCTTAGATGGGTGACCCTGTTTTCTAGAAGTGAGTTTTTTAAAAGTAATTAATGCCTGCACTTGGAACATAAATATCGGGACAAGGGTTTACCTACACTACCGCAAGAAAACCTTGAGTGTACGTTAATCACTAACAGAAATAATGAGGTAGAACACACTTCGGTGACGCACTTCTGTCAGGGACGTAGAGAGGCGCAGTAGCGCCGTGTACGGTCCCTGGCTACTTAAAACTAACATAGGCGCCAGAGTGCTCACATGATAACCCATAGCGCTAAATAGCATCCTGAAACAATCACGCAGATTGAGTCATTCGCTAAAGTTACACGAATCAACAGGATTTTTTCTACAACATGTAAAAAATGTATTTGACGTGTTATAAACATCACTGCGACTGATTCAATTTGTTAGCGCACTAATGGTGTATTATTTGTTGCTCGATCTAAATTTCTGATTGGATCTTCTAAAAACAGATGATAATTTCATCATTCGCAAAGTGACGAAACAGTACAGAAATATTTCCTCGCGTAACACAATTATTTTTAGAAGTGTGACTTTTATTTTTAGTTTCATTATTTCGAGAACTGTAGTATTTGGAGTTGTTTTGATTTTTTATGTACAATAGGAAACATCGCAGTTAATAATCTAACCTTGGTTAATTTATCTGATTATTATAAAAATCTCCCCGGCCCATTTTGAGTCTTTGGGGGCGGAAACTGAAATTTTTGGTCGCCGTCAAATCGCTTCCTACTAGGGAACCGGCGGACACGCCTGAATTATTTTAGTGATCGATCGTAACGCCCGAACTTATCCATTATCTATTGCACTTTTTATGTATATACATATATATATATATATATATATATATATATATATATATATATATATATATATATATATATATATATATATATATATATATATATATCATTCGGATTTGTTTAAAATTTGTGTTTTGCGAATTCATCGTATTTTTTAAATCACTCTTTAATAACTCATCTAGAGTTCAAATTCCAAAATGGATGACGAGAATATGTGGAAAGCAAGATCAGACCTGCAATTTTTATCCCTGCTGTTTACATTACACTTGCATGTAAATACAAGGGGAAATTATCGTGTTTTTTTTTCTTAAATTAACTTAGTGTTTAGAACAAGTTGTACTTAAGTTTATAGAAATATATGCGTTTTTATTCATTAGTTAAATGTGTTTAAAGCATATCAGTGGGTACAAGGGAGGAAAACCTAATCATTGTTTAGCACTCTTCACGTATCCATTAAAAATTTATCGATATATATAGTTGCATTCTTTTAAATTGTTTTAAAATATATTGTCCCACAGATACAGTGCAAAAGCTCGACTCAATATGTGTACCAGAAAAACCAACATTGGGTAGACTTAAAATGATGCTTTTTTTCCTTGGCGTTTGAAGCAGTGTAGCATTTCCCTCAATTATGAACATATTGATCAAATCGTTTCTCGTTTTATTTCATTTTTAAATAGAGAGAACAATCTTTTTTAAAATATTATGATGCGAGCCGACCCGCTGTGTATCATACGCCGCTATTTAGTTGTTTTTTTTTTCTACTTTTCAGTAATTTATAATTTGTGAATTCGACATTACCAATGCTGCCATTGAAAATATTTGCTTAAAAACACTACCCCCCCCCACGTGAAAGCAGCCTCCTCTTAGTAACCTCCTCTCAGTTTAAAATCGTTTCAAACTAAATTATCTGCCCCTAATAGCCGTCACCAAACCCGTCTCTATGATTGTAAAATGTAAACAGAGTGAACACCGCTCACCAGATCATGTGGGGGTGGGGTGGGGGTGGTAGTGATAGAGAGTTAGAGAGGGGACTGCAAAGGCGCGCTTGCAGCTTGTTTTCTAACTGATCCCAGAAGAGAATTATATATACGAGCCGACCCGCTGCGTATCATACGCCGCTATTTAGTTGTTTTTTTTTCTACTTTTCAGTAATTTATAATTTGTGAATTCGACATTACCAATGCTGCCATTGAAAATATTTGCTTAAAAACACTACCCCCCCCCCCACGTGAAAGCAGCCTCCTCCTAGTTACCTCCTCTAAGTTTAAAATCGTTTCAAACTAAATTATCTGCCCCTAATAGCCGTCACCAAACCCGTCTCTGTGATTGTAAAATGTAAGCAGAGTGAACACCGCTCACCAGATCATGTGGGGGTGGGGTGGGGGTGGTAGTGATAGTGATAGAGAGTAAGAGAGGGGACTGCAAGGAGGCGCTTGCAGCTTGTTTTCTAACTGATCCCAGAAGAGAATTATATATACGAGCCGACCCGCTGCGTATCATACGCCGCTATTTAGTTGTTTTTCTTTTCTACTTTTCAGTAATTTATAATTTGTGAATTCGACAGTACCAATGCTGCCACTGAAATAATTGCTTAAAAACACTAAACCCCACCCCCCTTCCCCCCACGTGAAAGCAGCCTCCTCTTAGTTACCTCCTCTAAGTTTAAAATCGTTTCAAACTAAATTATCTGCCTCTAATAGCCGTCACCAAACCCGTCTCTATGATTGTAAAATGTAAACAGCGTGAACCACAGCTCACCAGGCCATGTGAGGGGGTGGGGGTGGTAGCGATAGAGAGGAAGAGAGGGGACTGTAAGGTGCGCTTGCAGCTTGTTTTCTAAAGGCTCTCAGAAGAGAATTATATATATAGATAGATAGATGTAACCAAAATTATCATTAAAAATTAATCAAGTTATTATGCATAATTAAAAAGTTTATTTTTTATTAAACAAAGAAATTGTGGTTTATGTTGTGTGTTGTATGGTTTATTTTATGTAGGCATACGTATAAAGACGATCATTTTTACAAGCTTTAATGTAACTTGCTTACTCCGTATGTCGTGCTTCGCCCGTCAACGATAAAAAAAGGCGAGCGAAATTTCGACCACTTCTTTTAGAGCTGTTTCTCTGAAACTAACATCACATTAGTCTGAAATAGATGTTTAATTATTTTTTTTTTGGAATAAATCAAAATTTCCTTGATAAATTACTGTTTACCGCGCAGGTATACGTACATATTTATTTGATGTATAATTGTTTTTAGACATGAAACTCTGTTGTAATAAAACATTTTAAAGTACAAAATATGCATTTGAAAACATAAGTAGCCTATTGTCCTTACATTAACCAATTCTGATATCAACCTTGTTCCTGTTAAATTCAACTGTAGTAGGTAAGACTTCAGACTAAATATAGTCACGTCCCTTGCCAACTGGAAATGTTACATTACTGTCAGTACCGAAATGTTGCAGTGTAATACATTTTTTTTCAAAAATTAAAATGAGGCTTGAAGTTTATTTTAAAAATGAATTGCGTATTACAGTACTTTTTCGAGAAATTTCAAAAATGTATGCGCGAAGTAGGTGATAGAACAGCAGAAATAATACATAAACACAAAATATTTTTCGAATTATGTGCAACCAACCGCTATGAAGTAATACATAACGCTTCAGAAATTAAAAGAATTATACATGTTTAGACTGCATATATATATACATATATATATATATATATATATATATATATATATATATATATATATATATATAGTTTATTTATTTACATCTCCTGTCGACACGACATTAAGCTTAATCTTCAAAATTGGGCAAGTCATGGATTGCAACCAAGAAAATGGCGAATGATGATGACATCAAAATCAGACTGGTCTGAGAAAGTTGTCAGAAAATTATGTAAAAATCAACTCTGTAGCCCCAAAAACCCTATGGTTTATGGAGAATTATTTATTTATTTATTTATATCTCCTGTCGAAACGAAAGAGCTTCAACTCCAAAATATAAGCGGGTCATGGATTGAAGAAAAATATGTAAAAGTCAACTCTGTAGCCCCATAAAACACGGGTTTATGGAGAATTGATTAATTGATTATGAAATTAAACCTAAGAATGTAATGAAGATTGAAGTATACGTTTAACACTTTAAAAATTTCATTGACTTAATTGAATTATATTTCTTTATCTATGGTTGAATAAATTACGAAGAACCAGTTCGACAAAGATATATTTTCGAAAAAATTCGGCACAAAACTTATCAATACACCCAAACATGTTTTACAATAGTTATTACAATCAAACAACTGTAAGATAGCAAAAAAAGGAAGCCTATATATGATGGATTTACATTACAGACTGCTATCGATAAAAGCATTTAAGCCCTATGTTTAATTATGTAAACTGAATTAAAATCGTTGACAATTTAAGGCCACTGAAGAAAATGAACAGCAATTACCAACACATGCTTTTAGCACTTTAATGTATGACACTTATAAACCTGAGGCCACCTTGTCCACAGTGGGGATTAAAAGCGATCACAGAGTGATTCGATTAAAAATATATCGTAGCCTGAGTAATTACATGTCTGGGCAGTGATTGATTAGTTAAAGTAAGGCAAGTATTTAGCTTTTAATATATTAAATTTTGGACCACACAAAGACAGCAAGAACTTAGCACTAAAAGCGTATTTCGTACATTGGCCGGCCAATGCATGCACTGGTCGCGACGTATTGGCCAAAGTCCGAAGCTCTTAAACTTGACAGCGTATTTTGTACATTGGCCAGCCAATGCGCGCACTGGCCTGGATGTCCTGGCCAATGTTCTATCTAGACTAAATTGTGATTGCGTTTTTATTATTCTGGGTGCGGATTTATTGTGAGTAACGTATTGTTCGGCTATTGTTTGTAAAGCATTCTATATGCAATGCGACATGGACCAAAAGGACCGTCAGATCAAGAGACAGACATACCAGATGGCTGCCAAAATTAAATAATCCAAATCCTAATGGAAAAGAATTTGTGTTAAAAAGAATCAAGTTAATTCTGAACTAAAGAACATGTGACCTGAACTTAAACTATTTCACAGAAAACCAGGCATAGCCAAAGCCAATGTTCAGTAGAACGTGCCAACTAAGATGTTCAAACATGATGGATGCAGACAGATGAATCAGCTCATTGGGCTGAGAGTCTTATGAAAAACCGTAATTTTCATCAAGGTATCCAACAATCGCCATACAGAGCCTTGTTTAGATGCAAAGCAAAAGTGGAACTTAGCAATTCAAATCTACCAAGAGAGGCTCTCGATAAGTTAGCTACTTAAGAATATCTTGAGAACATTGAACAAGAAATGGAGGTTACCATAAATGCAACGACATACTCATCTAACACATCTGCTGCCGTGGCAATAATGTGGCCAACAGATTCTGTATAGTTTGTGAAAAACATTGTAGTGCAGCCCATTCTTGTGGATCCTGCGACAACGATGTTATTTGCGGAATACCCAATGAAGCAGACGAAGGGTACGGATGAAATATTACCTGCAGATTGTGTCACAATAAACAAGACATAATGGACAACAGGTCAGCAGTTCATACTAGCTTGCAAACTCAAGGTGCTAAGATGCTTAAAACAAACATCAAATACAAAATTTAAACAAGCTGAAGTGGATGACAATGTACGCATCCGTATACCAGATGTTGACATAGGTCGCGGTGATCCCCGAAACGTCATTGCAGTTGTCATGAGCGTCGAGGGCGCATTCTACTATTTAGGAACGGAACATAGTATTATAAACCAACTGTATGCTAGAAGTGAGTTTTCAATTCTTCTCGAAAAACTTCTCTTATTATCGTCAGTTGGAACTGAGGAAAAATCACCACGAACCATCGCATCTTCACTATATTTGACCGGCGGCCAAGGCTACACTCGCTGCAATTGCACCACCAAGTGCACAAAAAATTGCTGCAACTGTAAAAATAACAAGCTATTATGTAATTCTAAATGCCATAAAAGTTCAACTTGGTGTAACAAGTGATTATATTGATTGATTGAGACTATAGTACAATAAAATATGTGAAAGTTTCTGTCATTTACTTTAATGAATAATCAATAAAGACTTAATATCATGATGCTTACGGTATAAAAAAAACCAAATCTGCTCATGATCTTTTAATTTGGACTTTGGCCGGTCGTCCCTAGCCAGATGATCTTCTAATTCAGACTTTGGCCGCTCCACCATGGCCACGCCGTGGATTGGCCGGCCAAAGGCCGAAATCATGCAAAGTTTTGGACTTTGACCGGTCAATGGGAGGCGCGCATTGGCCGATAAGCACATCGGCGACTTCGGGCTTTGCCCGTAACACACACACACACACACATATATATGTATATATATATATATATATATATATATATATATATCATGTAGTAGACTGAGCATATTCCAATTGTTTTGTTTGAACTTTGTGTTTCGCGTAATCATCGTATTTTTAAAGTCACTCTTTAATAACTCATCTAGAGTTGAATTGCCCCAATGGATGACGAAAATATGTGGAAAGTAAGATCAGACCTGCAATTTTTACCCCTGCTGTTTACATTACACTTGCATGTAAATACAAGGGAAAATTATGTGTTTTTTTTCTTAAATTAACTTAGTGTTTAGAACAAGTTTTTCTTGAGTTTATCGAAATATATG